ATTTATTGGTTTAAGTTTGTTTTTTCTTTTCTTTTTTTTTCAATAATAAGAAAATGTCTCTCCATATCTATTTTCTAAGAGCTATTTAAGAACAAAAGTTGTTTCTTGTTAGGTGCCATCAAGTTGACTGTAACTCACAGAGACCAGATGAACAGCAGATCTAATCCTTGCCCTGCCCTGCTCACGATCTCAGTCCTACTCAAGCCCACTGTCATGGTCACTGTATTAATCCATCTCATTGAGGGTCTTCCTCTCTTTAATTGACTCTGTATCTTTCCCAGCTCGATGTCTCTCTCCAAGGGCTGGTTCCTTCTAAAAACATGCCCAACGTAAGTGAAATGTTTTCTGTCAATTGACTGTACTGCATGGTGGATAGGTTTTAGCACAGCTTTCAGACTAAAGACTAAGAAGCAGGACTAGCCATCCACTTTTAAAATCACTGGTCTTCCAAAACTCAACAGAAGATGGAAGAATCAGAAATCATTCACTTTTCCTTTTACATCAATGAAATGCTATGTTTACTACATATAATATTCCCAACATGTTTTTTTTTCCTCTACTGCTGTTTGTATTATCAAAATAAACCCCGGAATAATTATATTGTTGTTACTGTATACCACTAATTAGAATCAACCCACAGCTGACACGCTAGTAGGTATTCAAAGGCAATAAATCACACAGGAGGAAATTGTCCATTTTCCTCCTGTGGACCAGCTGGTGGATTTGAACCTTGTTCCTTTGCCTGGGCAGTCCAATTCCTTATTACTAAGCCACTAGAACACTACATTTTTTAGATAGGGGATTGACTGATATCTCCCAGTATTTTGTTTACCACATTTTCAGTCTATACTAGAGTTGCTTTTGGCTTTGCAAGTGTGTATGTACATATGTGTATGCATACATACATGTATTTTTGGAAAGTTTATGTACTTAAAAAGTTGTCTAATGTTTGAAAAAAAATATTTCCTTAAAACACTTAGACCTAGTGCATTGTTTTAAAGATAATTTGGCTTCCACTACACCCTCAACTTTCTTCAAAGGCTTAAAGCTCTATTATTCCCCCCCGTCCCCGCAGAACTTCAGCTTGATCACGGAGCTCTGCAGTCGGTCCCTTCTGCTGATAGGGCTTCACAAAGCATTCAGTAGATACTATTTTCATAGCCATTATCTCATTCATGCAATGCTTATATCCCCCAAATGAGGTAAGCAAAGAAAAAGGACTCCAAAGGACAGAGAATTCAGAGAACAAGGTCAAAAGCACCCAGTTTGGAGTGAAACTATAGCCCCAATCTCCTGGTGTTTATTTACTATGTTCCTCATCTGGAAAAAAAACCAACTCCAAAAAACAAAGCACACACAAAAAAACAAACCACAAACAAAACTAGGAAAAAGGTCTAAGCAAGGGCAGGGGTGGCACTGAACTTCAAGGGAAACACTGAGAGGCAGACACTGAATTTTCTACTTGGCCATAACAATTGCTCCACAGCCAAAAAACAGGCCCAGTGGGTTCTCTTCACACTACTATACTTGTATTATTTCCCGATGGCCTGGAAGATTTTATATTCATTCCTCTTCCACACACCAAGGATGGAGGAAATATTCCCATGGGAAATATCATGACAATACATTTGTTCTTTCCTTGCTCAAAGGGTTCCCTTAAGTGTAAATTCACTCTTGAACAAAGGTGTGCGTTTGAAAAAAACAAAAGACTCCACCTTCTCTGAAATCCTAAAAACTGTTCTACTCTCCAGCTTTGGAAAGACACACAGTGGATCAGTGATACAATTTAGGATTTTATTTTCCTGAGAGTATAGTGACCAGTCCAAATTCGCGTTCTTTTCTCTGCTTACCTTCAGGGTCAGAAAACAGAGTTGTAATGAGCAGAACTTAAAATATGGTCATAATATCTCCCAACCTCACCCTCCCGTTGTGAGGTACTTTGCTATTCATGATGCTAATTTCTTTCCTTTTACAGTAACATGCAAATCCCAGATGGGAGAGCTTGGCTCACTCTGAATATGAAATGTAATCCCACTCCAGGTCTAAATGGAGCCCAGTTCTGAAAAAAACTTCTACTTGGGGAGTTTGACTCTCAGGCATTCCCAAAGGCTTTCTCCTGGGACTTCCATTATCACCCACCACACACGCCATCCATGGAGGATGCTGGCCCCTGTTCAAACTCTGGGACAGAACAGACAAACCTCTCTTCAGTTCTGGGAAGAAACTCAAGTAACAATGCTGAGCTACCTCAGACAGCTACAACCAACCACCATTAATCCATGAAGCAGTGATGTGAAAGGACAACGTTACTGGAGTTTCTGCTACTGCCCGTCTTATTATCATTTCATATGGGCACTGCTGGGCATCTGGCTGACAGAAAGGAAGGAAGGAAAGGAGGGAGGGAGGGAGGGAGGAGGGATGGAGGAAGGAAGGGAGGGAGGGAGGAAGGAAGGAAGGAAGGGAGGGAGGGAGGAAAAATTCTACTAAATACTGTGAAAGAAAAAAAAATTTAGAAAGGTTATGCATATGGAAGCAGCCTATTTAATAAGGTCTTCAGGAAATCTAGGTTAGCTGCTCATTTAGCTTCCAAAAGCAGACACTCTGGTCATGTGGGTTACTGTCCCTTCTGATTTATGACCCTATGCCTAGAAAACCCTAGGGAGCAGTTCTACTGTGTCACATGGGATAAATGAGTCCAAACTCCACCCAGCAACTGCACAGGCCCAGTGGCTTCCTCATCTGGGGTCAAGGGTCACCTCTGGTGCTTCCTTAAAGCCTCACTCAGACTTCCAACACAGGCGGCCTACCCCTTCTCGTCATTCACTGCATCTTCTAATCCCTCAGGCCTTCCTCACGGTTTGCTCTTAGTGGGTGCACAGGAAAGCTTGCTCCAGGTGGAGCTTTTTATAGGCACTCCATAGGCAATTCTCCATAGGCAATTTCGACTCATAGAAACCCGTTCCCATACGGCTCTCTCCTGGGATTCTCACTGTCCTTTATTCGCCCCTATCCTTAGGGGAATGCTGACCTGTGTTGAGCCCAGAACAGAACTGCCCCGTGGGGTTCCCAAGCTGTAAAGTGTACAGGAGCACATTGCCAGGCCTTTCTTCTCCTTTGGACCCACTGGGTAGGTTTGAACCACCAACTTTCCAGTTAGCAACTGAGTGTGTAATCATTGCTCCACTAGGGTTCCTTAGTTGGAAATAAATTGTCATCCCTTAATGTATCTTATCCTAATTAAGAGGTCAATGAGCTGAGCAGAGTCTATGAACACACTCTACCTTGGTGGACGAGAGAAAGCTCCTTCCTTCCCCAAGAAACAAACACTGTCTTCCCTCTGCGCCAGCTCACGCCAACAGTGTCCTGATTGGTTTTGTCTTAATTTACAGACAGAATGGCATTTCGATCCTATCTTTTCTTTTTCTGCTGTTTTCTATCTTGCCTTCTTCTAAAAGTAACTGAAGGTCTTTCGCAGCATAATATAAGCATACACCTTGAGAAAGAGCATGAAGTCTATAACCCCAAGGGTGCCTTAAATAAAAGGCATACTGCAGTTTTCTCATTCTGGTTTCCTCTGACAGTGAGATGGAGGGAAAAGAGACCACAAGCCCAGCATTCTGACCCACGTATCCTTTATTCCATCACCAACCACTGTGCTGCATCCAAGCAACAGTACACAGACTGGCAACCCACCGCAATCCAGGTGTACAACGATCTGAGGCGTACAGGACATTTAAGGCTTTGAAATTGGAAAATAATTCAAAATACAGGCAGTCCCTGGGTTATGAACCTCCGGCTTCAGGATAGCCCATTGGGAATCAATCCCTGTATTGAAAGCCCATTATATTAAAAATTGGAGGTACACACAGTGATTTGTAGTAACAAACAAGTGCCACTTTAAGATGTGTATCAAATATTATCATTATTACTATATAACTAGGATAAAGATGTTTTCATGTCATCTGGAAGCATTTCTCTATTATTTTTTTAATGCATAGAGAAGTATATACTAATGTACACAAGATAAACATTTGAACATCGGATGTTATACGTGAACGGAATCTAACCACTCCGATTTAGGGACAAATTTGACTTAGAGAGGGACTTAGGAATGGAGCTCATTTGTAAACCAGGGACTGCCTATAAAACCAAAGGACCCTCCCCCTAAAATCCAAACCCCCAATCAATACAAGTAATGTAGCAATTTTAAGCATCTGACATTTCTGATGCTTGTTCAGCACAACTCCAGTGTCAAAAAAACCAAAGAACTCTTAAATGGAAAAAAGACTCACTGAGTGAAACTTTAATTACATAAATTCTTTCAAAGCATAAACTTGGAATTTTTGTCTTGGAAATGTTATAAAATTCTTTTTCAATAGCAAAACATAGGAATAAAAACATATTAACAAAATGTATTCAATCATTTACATTACAAATGAAGGAATTTGCAGTTCATTGTAGCCTGACAAAAGAAAACTACCCATTAAGAATCTATGCACAATGTAATTGCAAATATGTACAGTACTTTTTTTAAAAAAGGCCTACAAGGAGGACTTTATAGAAGGAAAGTCTGCGAGGCTCTTTGTTAGATTAACCAGACAAAATATTAAAACTCTGTTGGCTAGTAATAAATTTACATTTAAAAAAAACCAAACAAATCCCAAAACAATAGACCCCAGTTTCATTTTGTTTAAGAATATTCCAGTTATATGGTTACCGTTGTTGAAGCTGTGTGTGAAGAGAGTTTTCCAGTAAATAACCCTTTGAGTTTGATTTGTCTGGGAGGGAAGGATCAGCATATTAATGAAAATGAACAAAGGAATTTTCATCACAAGTGTTTTCCAGTTACAGTATCACAGCTTCACAAATGATTCGCACCCATGAATCCAGTGGCTGACAGGGAATTGCTCATCAAATACTGAGAACACTGGTGGAGAAGGTCGAGTCCTGTGTGAATGACTGCAAGGGACTGGGAAGGAGAAGGAGGTGATGTGAGCACGCTGTGCACAGCGTGAGAAAGCTTCCCCCCACCCCCAATTCGGCTCTCACCCCCATCCCCACAAAATAAAGAAGCGGGAGATCGCGCCTGCTGAGTTTAACATGTTGAGGGAATTAGGAGAACCACCTCTAGATACAAAAAAGGCTGAGGCACCCTCAGCTCTTTGATTAGACTGCCCTCAAAGTCAGGCACTCTTTAGGGCCATCAGGCGATCCAGTTAAAGCATGTGCAAAACGGAGGACTCTTGTGTTCACAGTAAATGAGGTAAAAATCAAGTGGTCTTCTTCAAGAATTTGGAAGTTCGTGCGATATGAACTGTTTTAGTCGTTCCAGATATTGTGCGTATAGCTCTATGTCATTGTGCCCAGCGCCTTCAACCCAGAGGGGCTCCACGGCTCGGGGACAGCGCTCGTACATGGCCAGGCCGTGGGAGAAGTCGATGACCTCGTCCTCTGTACCGTGAATGACCAGCACAGGAGAGGTGACTTTAGAGATCTTGTCAATGCTGCAAAACAGAAAGGGGAGAGGGGACAGAAAAAGGACTCCTTTAGTCATCTTACAGCCAGCAAGCACCCGCCTTGGTCATCAGCACTGACAGGAAACAAGGGGATCATTCCTTTGAGTCTTTGGGTACAAATGCTTAAACACCAGGCTGCCAACTAACTGAAAGGGTGGCAAGAACTGCAAGGTCACCTGGAGGCACCTCAGAAGAAAGGCCTGGTGAAGGACTTCCACAAAACCAGTCACTGAAAACCTTAAGAGCACAGTTTGACTGACACACGGGGTCGTTAGAAGCCACTAGGGATTATAAGGCAACTGGCTGGTTTAGGGTTTTTTACTTTTTGGAATTATTTTTAAAAATAAGCTTTGTATATTGGAGCAACTGGATTTGCAGAGATGTGGCAAAGATAAGAGTCACTATTGAGTCCTAACCCATTTCCCCATGGGGCCAACATCTTCACATCACAGCGGTGCCTGTGTGCTGGGACAGTCTGAAGGGAATCGCCCTGCCAACCCACTGGTGGCGCCTCTGGTGGTTCGAATCCACCAGCAGCTTCCTGGGAGGAAGATGGACCAACTCCTGTGAGATTCACCACCTCCAAAACCCCATTAGAGGGTCAGCTGTGACTTGATGGCAATGAGCTTTGGGTCTTGAAGGTTATTTTTTTTAATTGTCAAAAGGAGGAAACCAACACCAGTATCATTAACTATTCATTAACTGAACTCCAGACCATATTCCGATTTTACCAGTTTTTCCACTAATGCCTCCTTTCTGTGCCAGGATCTCACAACACATTCAGACATTCATTTTTGTTAAAATGTTAATAAAACCAGAATCTCTGTTTTTAATAATGAGTATATTTTCTGGTGGCTTAGTGGCAAGAAACTATACTACAAACCCAAAGGCACGTGATGGGTAATCTCCTCCTGTGTGAGTAACTGCTTCTGAAAACCCACTGGAGGTTCTGACTCGATGGTATACAACAATAACAACAACATATTTTATTTATGAGCTAGTACTAAAAAACGAGTACTTAGGGAACTGCCTGAAGTTCAAGTAGGATTTAGAGGAGGCTGTGGCACCAGGGATATCACTGCTGATGTCAAATGGATCCTGGCTGAAAGTAAAGAATAACAAACAATGTCTATTTGTGCTTTATTGACTATGCAAAGGCATTTGAGTGTGTGGATCATAACAAGTTGTGGCTGACATTGAGAAGAACGGGAATTCCAGAACACCTAATTGTGCTCATAAGGAACCTATACCTGGACCAGGAGGTTGCTGTGTGAACAAAGCAGAACATCAGATGGTTTAAAATTGAGAAGGGAGGGTGTCAGGGTTATAGTCTTTCTCCATATCTATTTAATCTGTAGACTGAGCAAATTATTTGAGAAGCTGAACTCTATGAAGAGGAATACGGCATCAGGACTGGAAGGAGACTCATCAGTAAACTGCATTATGCCGAAGATACAACTTTGTTGAACATGAGGAGGACTTGAAGCACTTAGTGCAGAAGATTAAGGGCTGAAGTCTTCGGTATGGCTTGCATCCCAATGTCAAGAAAACAAAATTACCACTGGACTGATAGAAAACATCATGATGGATGGAGAGGAGACTGAAACTATGAACAGCTTCATCTTAGTTGGTTCCACAATTAACACCCTTGGTACAAGCAGCCAGGATATAAGGAGACATATTGCTCTGGGAAAGTCTGCAATTAGGGATCTCTCTGAATTTTTGAGGAGTAATGATGTCAGTTTGTCGACTAAGGTATCTCTGATTCAGGCCATAGTCTTTTCGATCACTTGTTGTGCATCTGAGAGTGGGACAATGAATAATGATGACAGAAGAAGAATGAATGCTTTTGAGCTGTGGTGTTGGAGAAGAGCACTGAACATCCCTTGGACGGCCAAAAGAACAAATAGATGTCTTTAGAGGGTATAGCTGGAGTGCTGTTAAAAGGCAAGAATGATGAGTTTGCACCACATGCTTTGGGCTATTCCTTGGAGAGGGTCATGATGCTGGGAAAGGTAGAGGGTTGGCAAAGGACAGGAAGACCCTCAACCAAGTGGACTGACATAATAACTGCCACAATGGGCCCTTGTGTCAGGAAGTGTGAGGATGGCACAGGATAGAACAGGGTTCAGATCTTTTGTTCACAGGGTCGCTTAGTGTTGTACTTGACTCAATGGCATCTAACAATAACAACAATTAAAAAACAAAGTCAGGAGATATATATATATATATATCTGTTCATATAAATGTCTCCTTCAGAAGCTGCATGCTTAATTCACTGCTGCTCTAAATTATTCCAAAACTTTTGTAAAAGGCTATCTTTAGATTCAGGAGCAAGATATTCTCAAACCCTGTCCTGTGAAAGCTTATGCTTCATTTTCTATCAAATACTGTACTGCCTAACTTAAAATTTTGATGTAATCCCTAGATTTGACTCCAAATGAATGCTGTTTACAAAAATCAAATCTGCCCTCAAAGGATGAATATTTGAGGATTTTCAAAAGAATGAGCCTTAGGCTTTGAAAGTGTATTCCAAAGAAGAACTCAAAAGATGTCAGGCATTGCCAGGCTCGGTGTGCAGATTTCTCAGATGGGCTAAGAGTCATTCTGCATACAAACAAATCAAAGAGATGGAAATCATTATCCAGTTTGTCCTCCTTCCAAAGTCCTTCCTAGAGTTTATTTCTCTTTCCATATTTGAGCCCTGTCAAAGTTACTACATTGTGTGCTGGAGGACCAACTGTGGAATTTTTTTGTTGAAAGTAATGTTGTTGCTAGTTGAAGGCCAGTTGACTCTGACTCCCTGAGACCCCACAGGTGCTGACAGCCTGATCCACAGAGATTTCAAGGCTGAGACCTTTAGGAAGCACATCCTCAGTCAGGCCTTTCTTCTGAGGTGTCTGTGGGTGTGTTCAAACTGCCAACCTTTCCACTAATATTTAAGTACTTAAAGGGAGCTACCAGGCTCTGTAGGTTAAAGTAATATCCAAACCAAACCCATTGTCACAGGATGAATTCTTACTCATAGTGGTCTGGCATGGTTTCCACGGTTTATATAAATCTTTAGGGAAGCATGAGATCTACTACATGCTTCTAGGCAGTGGTGGGTGAGCTGGAACCACCAACCTTCTGGTCAGCAGTGATATGTTTAACCACTGTGCCACTGGGCAGTCCTTGTTAAACATAATAGCTAACATTTACTAAAGGCTTGCCAAGGGCTCTGCAAGAACCACTTTACAGACAAAATCTGATTTCATTAGAGGAGAAAAGAATTATCATCTCCATTTCATCAATGAGGAAACTGAAACTCAGATTATTAAATAACAGGCCTGGGTCAGGAGCTAATAAAGAGTTACAACATCAGTCACCCATTCCAAAGGTCCACAAACGATGGCCAGGGAGGCTTCAATTAACAACTCACGGCCAGCCACCTCAAGACTGCACAACTTTATCAGCCACGTGATTTTCAATAATCTGAGCTTCTGGGCAGCATTGGACGCTGCAGATGAAGTATTCTGTGTTTGGAAATCCAGCTTCCCTCTATGTTTCATTTTAAAGAAACATCTTCTGACAATTCAGAGTCTTTTATATACTTCAGTGAAAAAGTATTTACGTCGCAATTATGGTGTTTGAAGGATGGCATGCAGATGGATAACTTAAAGTGCAAAAGCACCCAGCATGTTATTTTCTTAAATAACCACTGTTTAAAAAAGGCCTCCTTTTCTGTGTTGAAGAAAGTCTTGCTTTGATAGAAAATATATGATGTCCCCCAGTAGGGCCAAGTCTGTGGCTGATGTGTCCTGAGATTGTGACAGCTGGATGGGCCAGCTCATGTCACCAGTTTGAGAGAGAACTAGTGTGTGTGTGGAAAAGTGAGAGTCAGTGAAAGAGAAGACCCAAGAGAAATGGATTGACGTGGTGACTTCAGCAGTGGGCTCGAGTGTGCTGGAGATGATGAAGATGGCACAGGATAGGACAGGGTTCAGGATGGCTGTTCACAGGGTTGCTGTGAGGTGTACGCAACTGCACCTAACAACATAACAACAGTGTATAGTTAGTATAATAGGGAGCTCTGGTGGCTTAGTGGTAAGGAATCTTGCTGCCAGCCTAAAGGCAGGCAGTTAGAATCCACCAGCTGCTGCTGAGGAGAAAGATAGGCAGACTCCTCCCATGCGATTTACTGCCTCTGAACACCCACTGGAGGGTCAGCTATGAGTCAGTTCCAACAGTATAAAACAACAATATCCAGTGTTAGGCTTTTAACTGATCATTAATTGCGGTCACTTTGTGATGGCTTGCTTAAAAAAAAAAACAAAACCAAAAACCAAAAAACATCATTTGGTTACATAAGCATCTGTTACCCAGACTTTATTTTATAGGAAGGAATGGTCTGTTTAACACCTTTGCTTAACTTCAATTCTGTACCATTTATGCCAAAGTTCAATGAAATTCCACTTCACGGGAACGCCGAACTGCAGATTTCTAGTGGTGTGGCTGAGAATGCTAAGCAGGGCTCATGTGCATCTCAAATGTGGCCTTATTTCTGCTGAATTGATAATGAGAGGCCAGTGTGTGGAAAGACTGATATTTAGCCTGTCTGTGGGAAGAAATATCAGGAGTAACCTTGGCAACAAAATGAATAGGTTCTTTTTCCTCCAGCTCTTAGATACCTTAAAATATAGCTATAGACAATTAATTAATTGCAGCTTATGAATTAATTCATTAATTAGCAACTAGTCTTTACCTGACAAAGTAGACCTTGGGAGTATACATTTTGTGCTTATAATCCCATTTAACAGCCTTCGAGGGGGGGAAATGGTCCAATTACTGTACTCAATTTCAAGTTTAAGAAACTGAGGCTTAGGGGAAACTGAGGTTAAGTAATTTGCCAGATGAAGGTTGGTGAGTAGAGACAGAAATTAAAGAAAGAAAGAAATTATGTTACTTTTCATCTTTGGAACTGATAGTAACTTTTACCGTCGGTTGAA